GGGTGGAGGGGAACAGGGCATGTGGTGACAGACTGGGTTGAGCTGAGAGCCTGGAATCTGTCATCATCTTTAGTAAAACTTCCTTCAGCACCTGGACCTGCAAAGCTCTCTTTCGACCTTTTTCTGAACTGAATTCAGAGTGGCCGTGACTGTGGGGAAGTGGCTTGGGTTTTCAGGTGCAGCCCTTGGAGCACAATGGCTCTGTGTTCTTCCCCGAGGACCTGGGGGGCCAGAGCCAGCAGGCTATCTCTGGGTTTTGCTGCAACTGCCTCACCCACACATCAGAGTTTCTGGTTTCCAGATGACAAGTCTGTCTAGGTATGTAAATCGATCCTGACTCTCTTTCATCTCTTTGCAGTGAAATGCACCATGGAGGAGTACCMGGAGCCAGCCCACCGGACTCCAGCACCATGACCATCACCCGGATCTCTTCCCTCCAGCGCAAATTACCCCGGGCAAGGAAAATGTCCAAATTGTGCTTTCTCTCTTGTGATTTCTTTAATGACAAGACTCAGTACATGTGAAAACAGAATCTTTTCTGCACAAAATAGGATCTGTCACAAACATGCTTAGTGCAATACTTTAGAAAAATACCTGTCTTAACTTTCTGCATTATCCCAAAATTCATTCTTTATTCTAGATGTTTCTTCAGTGCTTCAGGAGCATACTATGCCAACTGCTAGCAAAACATATGATGGAAATCTAGTCCCAAGAGAAGTTGAAGTGCTGTTGTTCCACTTTTGCAAAATTCCATATTTAGGTCTCAAATCTCTGAATTTCTTTTGTGGTGGTTGTTGTTTGGTTTTGCAGTTCTGGGGCTCAAAACCAGACTCTTGGACATGCTGGGCAAGTGCTCTGCTACTGGGCTACATCCCCAGGCCCGAGATGAGAGACTGAAACTCAGACAACAATCACAAAGGATTTTTTGTTGTCGAGTTTCCCAAGTATTATAGAAAGTTCCAGCTTCTATKGGTAAATTAATTAACTTATTGCCCTTATTTGTTCTGTGGTTTGCTGCTAACCAGGATTCTCTCATTCAAAATGCCACAGTCTCAGCCGAAAGCCCAGTCGTGGTATTGAGTCGTTTTGATAAGCTCCCACACATCTTAAGTAAATAGTAAAGCCTTTATTTTTGTGTTAAGAACAGCATTTTGAAAATAAAACYTATCTGCCCATGCTTAACAACCTTTTAAATTTATAATATTTATATACAGTCATGTATGGTACACATTGATTGTCTTAAAATTTCTTGAATAATTTTTTTTTATAAGTAAGCAAGTCAGCCAGGGGAAGATAAAGGTCCATTATAAAACACACATTAATACATTTAATAAATATATATTATCTATCAAAAATGAGCCTTAGCTCTTTAATCAATTAATAAAAAGCACCTGCTGAGAACACCCATAAGCTGGTATAATCRTTGCATCCTTGGATTATAAAAGCACTATGCCCCCTTTTAGCCTGGGGTTCTGCCCGAGGCATTCCACCCAGCCTCGGCCAACCTAGAAAAACATCCAGCGTGCCCGTGATCAGTGTCCTGTCGGCACCTGTGCACTGGTCACCCAACTTCCAACACCCGACCTTAATCCTGGAAACACCGGAACCCACAGGACTTCCCAGTTTGTAACACTCTCGAAGCTCATTCCCTTATACCCACCCTCCATCTCTAACGGGGGGACATCTAGGGCAGAATGACAATTTTCCGTTCAATGGGAGGACAAGAGTGGATGTTACAGTCCCAAAGCGGTTTCTAACTGGACAGGGGACTTGTGCTTACAATTAGGGATTATTCACAGCTGCTGCCTCGGGGCCTTTCCCCCAAACAAGTCCTGGTTGCGTGAATGGATCTTCAACAGAGGTGCCTTCCATCCTGGGTTTAAACCTCGGTGAGCCAAGATGAATTCTGGAGAAGACAGCCAACTCTCCCTCCTGCCCTCACCCCCATCTCTGCCCCATCCTAAGAACATCCAGCCCACCTTGAGCCTTACAGCCAAAATAAAACAAAACCCAAAGCGCAATAACCTATCAGGAATTTTAAAAGGGAGGAAAGTCTCATTAAGTGAGGATTCCTGCAGCCAAAAATGGTTCTGCTTTCATGGTGCAGAAACTCGACTTGGCACCTGCTAGCCATTTCTGCTGTGCTCACCTTTATACGCGTGGACAAGAGGGAACTTAGAAAAGGAGATGGTGTGAACTCCTCCCTTTTGCAAGGAGGGCTCTTGCAGACCGTGTCACTGATGGTATCAGAAAGCTCCAAAGGACTCCAGAGATCGGGGATGAGCCACCATCTCCTGGCACGAGAATGTGTAACGCTGTCGTTTTTCACTGGACTGGACCGAGGCGTTCAGAGGCTGATTTATTTGCAGGATGCTCGGGGTCTGCATGCATCACCGCCTGCCCCACTGAGCCCCTAGCTTCTTTCCCTCCCACCCGTCCCCCAGGCTCCAAGTTTCTCAGCCCACCCAATGGTGGTCCTCGAGCAGAGAGGACTGGAATCTGGTTTCCTAGAAGCAAGCACATGCTTTGGGCAGGGCAGGTGGGTGCTTCTGGGAGGTCCAGGAAGGACTGACGTTGTCTGCCATGCTTTCCCGGCCCCATGCACAGTTAACCCAGGAGAGGTACTAGCTGCAGGTACCACTCGCAGGAGGGCCACCCAGGGATGGCCGGATTGACCTTAGTTTCCCAGTGGTCTGCAGGGATGGGGTAGCGGGGTGAAGAGTGGGGAGGGGAAACATCAGAGACTAGGGCCTTGAGAAAAACCAGGTTTATTAAATCATAGTCAGCTCAGGGGTACTGGCTCATGAAGAGGTCAGCCCCACCCCCACCCCCACCCACTAACCTTTTCCGTTTTCTTAAAAGGTTAAAGGCTTAAGGGTAATTTTATAGAAAAAGCGACGTAGAGATTACAGTATATGCAGAAGGCCCATCCTCATTGATACATTCCATGCCGTCAGGTTAAAACTCTTGGCTTTGAACCGTTGCCGGCCAAACAGTGCAGAGAACATGGGCTTTTTAAAGGCCCGGATGTTTGCCATGCAAAATAACAAAGGAATGACTCGCTCAGGACAGATGGAAACCATGACAGAAACAAGGCGCTGTGAAGAGAGCCATTTTCATGGAGCCTGCAGAAAACCAAGGTGGGAATGTCCCCCACACCCTCCCAAAGCAGCAAGAATCCCTCCCGTGATTCACTCTGCCCTGGAACCTTCTCCAAATCCACAGGAAAGACCCAACAAGTCACTGCTTGCCAGGCAGCCAGACCCGCTCTCTCTCCATCGAGTGGGCAGCCCTGGGGAGCCCTGCCAGGCGAAAACCTGTTGGGGGCAAACCTGCTGGGCCTGGCCTTCCAACCTGCCTCCTGCGTTAAGCTGTTTGCCCCATTGAAGTTTTGGAAAACGAATGTGGGAATAAAACTGGGAAAGGGCTTGGCGGGGCACCCATAAGTGCAGGAAGACGGAGATGACGGAGGCCGGGAGGGAGGGGTGGCTGTCCCTAGCCAGAGTATTTCTACGACTCTCCAAGGAGGGCCTGGGGCTTGTTCTCTTGCCCTTGGCTCTAGGGCAAGAGGCCCATAGAAGGAACTAAATGTGGCGGTTCCTTCAAAGCCTGGAGAGTCTCCTTTTCTTTGGCACATGCCAGGGCCCCTCCACCACTAGTGGCCATAAAGCTCCCCGCCACGGTTGGTTTGGGCCTTGCCTTGGAATCAACCCTCAGCCTCCTAAATTCCCCTGATATGTGCAAACCACCAGGCCAGCCAGGGATTGGGCTCCATGAGTCATCCTCAAGGTCAAGGTCATCTCCAAGAGGCTACCTGGGGCCCAGAGCTTGCCAGGGAGGGGAATGGGGTAGGGCCCCCTTAAGCAACCCACATCAGCCTGGCCCCCAGGGTGGAGCGGGCCCCCCAGCCACATTGGATGAGCCTAGTACTATTTGCAATTAGCTTGGCTTTAGTGTGCGGGGACTGAGGCTGCTCAGCATGACCAGGGCGTCTGTGTGTGTGGCAGGGGCGGGGCGGGCAGTCAGTGTTAGCTTTTCAGGTCATCAGTGTTCACAGGTACATGAGACCCCCTCGCCCAGGACTCCAGCGCTCCTGGCTGAGAGGCGGCCTTGTTCGGCTACTGTTACTGATTTCTCCCTCAAGAAAGACACGGCCAGGGAATGAAATTGGTAAGAGAGATTCTTATTCTCGGGAACTTAAAAGTCGTTCACCAGAGGTGTCTTCCAGTGTGAGATGGCGGAGCAGTTGGGATCTGTAATAACATAAGGATAACACACTGAGAACTCCGTGCTTTGCAAAGTCAACGTCAGACACCGATTTGCTCACAACGTGCCAAAGGTGAGTGACCTGGCTTTTCCCCAGATGGGCCCAGCGTGGGCTGTGACCCTCTAGCCCTAAGGCATTTGTTTCTTTAATCCTTGAAGGATCCAGGAGGGCTTATGAGTAACCAATGGGACCTTTTCTAACCAAATGATAACACACAGGCCATTTTTTGAGTCGGGCTTATCTCGTCCTGAGACAGTAAAACAGCCCAGGAGATGGTGGGGGGTGTTAGAATGTCAATCTGTGATTCTGTCTTGAGCATGTTCCAAACCAACACAGACCGAAGCCTAGCACATCACTCAAGGTCAGGAAAACCCAAGTCCCCTCAAGAGGTCAAGACCATCCCTGACTCCCATTAAAAAAAAAAAAAAAAAAGGTTATGGAATCAGCGCGTGAAATAAAGGATGGAAATCCAATTTACACAAGTAAACTGGCTCAGCGGCATTTCTGAGAAGCATGTAGCTATGTCTGGAAATTAAACATGGGGATGAGAGCAGGTCTTTGGATTGTGGAGAAACAGCGATGTCATTCCACGAGGCGAATGGAAAGGTGGCGATTCTGCTGCGGGTCTGTTTGGCATCAGAGAGCGGACCTGCTTCTTTCGGAGGGACACACGGCCATCAACTCCGTTCCTTAAGATGTCCCTTAGGGAGCTGGGGTGGGGAAACTGGTACACAGCTGGGGCGCGAGGGCAGAGGTGCGACCAGGGGGACTTAGGCTAGCAAAACCTGAGGGGGCTTTGTCTTGGTGGGCTTGTCCTTCAAGTCAACCTCCCAGGGAGAAGGCTGGGGGCGGTGTTAGTGGAAACCAAAGAATCCACTGGATACTAGAGCCCCAAGAACAGGTCCTCTTCSAGATGAATCTAGAGGTGGTTAACTAGGTACAGGTGGATTCCCGGTGTGTGCAGAAAGGTGGGGAGAGGGAGAGGAGAACGGCGGCACTACATGCGCTTAGCTACGGGGGTGGGGGGCATCCAGAGAAGGGTGCCCCGTGGAAGCTGCTCCCACACCCCAAGCTCTCGGGCTTCCTGCCCAAACATCACATCTTGATACTTACGGTGCCACCATTGAGCACGACGGCCATCTCGGTTGGCTGGTACACATTGCTTCTGAAGGGTGCGCTGGGTCTCTTCCCCAGGCTGCCGGTGGGTCTCTTCCCCAGGCTGCCGGGGGATCTCTTCCCTAGGCTGCCATTGGAAAAGCCCGCTGTCCGGAGAGCTGAGGGGGGAGGGGAGGGAGCCATTGGCAGTCCGACAACACCAAAAAAAGAAAAGAGACACAATTTTGTTTTTTTACTCCTGCATCAACAACAGCGCTCTGGGCACCCCCCGCCCAGCCACCGCATAGCCCCGCCCCTCTGTCACAAGCTGATTCAAAACAAGTCACAAAGGGGCTTTGTTCTCAGGAGCCTGACCCCTCTCAGTGGGTTGGGAAGTTTGTAGAGTCCAGGGTTCAGGCTATGGGGGGAAGGGGGCTCCAGGGTTGACCCTTGACCCATCCCTCACACAGGGCCCCTGCAGGCCTTGGGTGACAAGCCCCTCTGCAGCCCTCAGGTCTCCTTTGACAAAAGAGCTCCTCTCCTCACTGCAGAATGCCACCCACTCATGACAGGGGCAATGTCACACCATTCAGAAATGGTCACTGCTTCTGGATCCACACAGAGGTAGGAACCGCCAAGAACACGGCCATATTGTCACCATTGGCAAGCGGCTGTCCCCAGAGATCTGAAGCAATGATGACAATATAAGGTAGCACTTTTTACCTCTGAAAGGTGGTTAAGTGGTGCTCTTTGCTGTACTTGTAAGGGAGTCAAATTTCCTTGTTGGGAAAGAAATATCAAATTAATGGAGGGATCCCAGATGCCTATTGCTAAGTGAAAGAGGCCAGTCTGTCAGAGCTCACACTGGGGAACTCCATCTGCATCATGTTCTGCAAAAGGCAAAACTATGGACAGTAAAAGATTACTGGTTGTCAGGGGTTGGTGTGGGGTGAGGGATGAAGAGGAGGTGCGCGGGCATTTCAGTGCCGTGACACTGTTCTGTATGATACCACTGGGTGGACACATGTCATGATGTGCTTTGTCAAAACCCATAGATCTGTATAATACAAAGAGTGAGGTCTAATTAAAATTTGGACTGAATGGCTGGGATGCACGCGGCTCAGTGGTAGAGCACTTGCCTAGCATGTGCCAGGCCTGGGCTGCCCCCCAGCACCACACACAGCTAATAATCATGTACTCATGTCGCCTTATCAACTGCAGTAAATATGTGACTCAAGCAGGTTGAGAGGATTTTTTTCCCATAAACTTAAAACGAGGCTGGGTGTAGCTCAGTGATACAGCACTCGCCTCCTATGTATGAGGTCCCAGGTTTGATCACTAGCACTTGCAGGAAAAAAAGGAGAAGAAAAAAAAAAGGAAAAACTCTATAAAATAATCAAATTGTCAGATGGGTCTTCTCAATTGTCAGATGGTTCTTCATCTTCATTGAAAGTACTAAACTGACTTTGCTAAAAAGAGACTCAGGGCACAGGRTGTGGCTCGGTGGTAGAGCATTTGCCTAGCATGTTCCTGGGCTCCATCCCATAGGCCCCCTGGATTGAACTCAGGGGCACTTAACCACTGAGCCACATCCCCAGCCCTGTGTGTGTGTGTGTGTGTGT